GGAGGGAAATACGATAAAATAAACGCAAACAAAATAAAACGAGCGAGGAGCCAAGAAGTCACTTTTTCCCTCTGCGCATCCCGCGGCGAGCGCAGCCAGCCCGGCTGCCCCGCCGGCCCCGAGGGGAGCGGGGCCCGGGGCCACCGCTGGCGACACGGGGTTTGCGCTCCCCAACGCACAGAAACCCCGTGCAGCCACCCGGGCAAGGGCAAAACCGCGGCCCCGCCGAGAGCAACGAGCAGGAACCAAAGTTTGGGAATAGCATCCGAGCGGCCGCGAAGGACCGGGCCGGGCAGAGCTCTCCGCGTCGCAGCCGCCCTCCATGGTGCGTTCACGGGGCTACGCCGAGGATGTGAACGGCTCTCGCCTGCTGCTTGAAGAGGGGTAAAGACGCAGGAAAGCTCTGTTATTTATTTATTTATTGGAAGCGATGTACGGGTGACACCCAGAAGGCATCTTGAGCCCTGAAAAAAAAAAAAAAAAACCACCCCCGGCCCCCAACAAAACCAAGGAGAAACCCGAGCCCTGCACTAAGAGGAAGGTGAGCGGAGAGAAAGAAAGAAAATATAGAAAAGCAATGCAAGCACCAAACCTGTAGATTTCTTCAGCTATTTTTTTGCTTCACTGAGGACAGATATCTCACTGACAGCCATGCAGCGTAAAGGCATCATGCTGATTGTATTCTTGGAGTATTTTATTTCTGGCCATGGGGAAGCAGGTAAGCAAAATAAATCAATATTGCCATCCATAAAAAAAACAGCCTGAACAGAGCACAGGGAGAGAGAATGAAAATCAAATCTACAAACTCTGTTAGATTTATGTCAATATATTTTATATATATATATATAAATATATAGTATATAAATACTTCTTATTCCCCTCAACACAGCTTTTCACAGATTTTCAGCTCAGTCTGCTCCCTGTGAATTATAACCAAATGCACAGTTTCCTACATCCTTAAGAGAGAACAGTGTATTTTTATGAATGAAAGAAAATAAGACAGAGAGAAAGAGAGCGATGGATTGAGATATTCTGGATATTTGTTTTGAGGAAGAAACACTGTTTTGCTAGGCAGGGCATGAGTGAAATGACAACATTCTTGGATAGCATCACAGGAGGGATCTGACTCATTCTATATGATATTTTTTGCATCGTTATTAGTGAAAGATGCTGTTTAGGAAGTACTGCTTATCCAAGAGAGCCCTCTCACTCAGCGTCTTCCCTGAGAGGACAGTTAATGTGCACTGGACAAGACTAAATTAGCATTAGGGAATAAATAGACTGGGACAGAGAGAGAAGTTCATTAGTTGTGTGTGTGTGTCTGCGGGTGCACAAAGAAGCATGTTCGGAGATGACAGAGCTGCCCTGGTATCTACCTATGGTTCTAAAAATATCCTGATCGTGAGAGAAAAAGAATTATCTGAGGGAAAGGAGGGAATTATTTTTTTTTCTTTCCTTCTGTGGTTTAATACACTTCTAAGGTTAAAAGAGATGAATTATGCAGATCAGGTCAAAAAAAATAAAAACAAGCATTGATGAGACAATAACCCATCCTCGTTTACTAGCCCATCGGGATACCACCTTGTGGTCTCTTTTTATGTAGACAAAAGCCTGTCATTATTGTAAAATTCACCTGCATGCCCGGGGTATTAGGAGAGGAGTGAGTAGAGAACGAGCAGAGGGAGGACGTGGTTCCTTAGTCCTCTGAGTGTCTTGTCTTGGGTATTCACTCAATTCCTGGGCAAGGATCTTCTCTGTAGGATACATAAGCTGACACGTAGCACACAAAGCTCACAGAGATGCCTCATAAAGTTGCTGATACTGCCGGGGAAAGCAGCCTGTTAGCCAAAATTTGCTCTGCATCCAATTCACAAAGTGAAAACACATCTTCAAGGAAAGGCAGCGCAAAGCTGATTTCTTGGGAATCTGAGGGGAGGGGATGTGCTCTGCATTAAGCTAGGCACTCTTGGAATAATGGGGTAGGGGCAGTGATTAATGGCAAAATAATTGGAAATTGAAGGTGATGACACTAAGGACTCAATGTCACTTTAAACAAATATACGGTGTCTGCCTGAAAGGCTGGGGAAACACCAACCTGTGAAAGCACAAGGGCTGCTTGATCATTTCTGATTTTTAATATTGCTTCTAAAAGAAACAATGTAAAAGTTTTGAATTAATCTTGAATCTTTACAGGTTCTTTGCAGGCTGGGTCAATATTATTTAAATCAAGGTTCTGACAGCATCTAGCTAATCTGCACAAAATCTCAGCCTTTTCCTGAACAGACAGGCATACAGAGAAGTGTTTTTTCTTTCATGCCTTATTATCCTATATCGGAATCTTCCTTTTCAGCAGTACAGTGAGCCCCTCCTGGTCAAAGGTGAGATGAATTGATTGGAACTTATAAGGAATGGGGGGAATATTTGTCTTTCACCCATGTCCATGCAGATGACACAGCCAGGGCTGTCAAGATTGGATCCTTAGATCTCTTAACACAATGCGAAGGGGGTAAAAAATATGAGTTTGTCTAGAAGGGTCAGGTAGGCTTTATAGCATGAGATGGGACCCGGGGCTGGGCTTCGCCCACCTCGCTCAGGCGGAGGGCGCATCCCCCTCACAACAGCAGC